GCCTGTGGGAGTGTTTTCATATTCTCCAGACAAAATTATCCACCATAAAAAATTCTGAGTATTCGTTATCAAAGAGACAAACTATTCAGAAAACTTGTAATCTTTGAAACAGCTGATAATTTTCCCAGTTTTAATGTGTGGTACATTTGGTAATTCATTATCCACTTGGAGCATTGCCCCCGGTTTGGCACTGTTTACTATTAATACTTTTGGATAGGAAAAACATGTTTAGCATATAAATGAATTGTCACGGAATGAATAAGTATTTTTCTCAAAATTGATACCACATCATAACGATTCAAATATAAAAGGATCTCCTCCAAACACACATCCTTTCCAACAAAAAAAAAAAATAAGTAGAAATAAGTAACTACAAATGTGCCTTTTAAATTAACCTATTTTCTTTTCAACTATCAACTGACAAATTCTGCCAAAACATTTCAGCATTTTTTCTACTTTGGAAAATTGAGAAATTTTATACGACAATCATAGTTGAAACACACTAAAATAAAAATAAAAAACAACTGGAGATTAATAGTAAATTAATTAAAAATAAACTCGACAAACCTTTTGTTTAATAACTTTACTGTCTTTTTCATTGTATACTAGCAATATTTATAAAATTTACAATAAATAATTCAAGATGCCCTATTTTCCTTTGGTTATTCACGAACATATGTTTGTGATCAGCTGGTTTTCTTACTTGCGAGTTTTCGCAGCAAAAAATGTTTCCAGCAAAAATACGCATATCTCAATGTCATTTTGCGATCTATATTTCCCTTACTTTGCATATTTTTATACATTATTTTTGGTAATTTGCTACAAAATTAGAAGATTCATTTATCATCCCTGATATACGAGCTCCCAAAAAGCTAGAATTAGGCACTTCGTTTCATCTACATATTACGTACATGGATTGTCTGCTTGATTCAGTACGAGAATTGAAGTCGGTTGTGTTTTTTGCAAAAAAATACTTGTTAAATTATTTAATTATAATTGTCTTACTTGCAAAAGAAATTGCCTTCGTTCTTCGTCTTTCGTCAAAGTTCGATTATAATTTTGTAACAACGCTATAACTCGTTCAACAATAACATTAACATATTTAATACTTTTAATTGTCTCTAAGACAATTTTTTATAGAATTTAATGCCCTACAAGAATATGCCTTGAAAAAACTTGTATCCCTTTTTTATTACTTTTTTTTACGGTTCAAAGGTTATAACATTTTTAATGAAAAATTTTTGCATGTTATTTTCATAGAAAATTTCGAATGCCCACCGTCAACTTTTAAAATGGAAATAAAAATGTTTCCAAATGGAAGAATTTCCTTCTCAGTAAATAGGTAATTTTAAGGTCATAAATTTGCCAGGTTAGTTATTTTGGATCACCCTAATATATATACTCGTTTACTGTAGTAAGATTCAGAGCTGGGTAATTTTTTTTGATTACGATTACATTTTAATTATGATTGCGTAATTGTAATCCTTAAATTATATACGATTACGATTAATTGTAATCATAAATGTTACCATTATGATTATAATAATTGTAATCTTAAAAATTTAGGGACTATGATTACTGTAATCGAAATCATGGAAAACATGATTACAAATACCGTAATTGTAATCCTAAACATTTTAAGATTACAATTACAGTAATTGTAATCATGAAAATTATCATTGCGAATACTTTAATTGTAATCCTAAAAATATTATGATTACAATTAACGTAATCGTAATCAAGAAAATGTTGATTGCGAATTTCTGATATTCTGTAGAGGCTTTGTAGTTAAGTACATGAGCCGAACTTTCACCGAAAAGTATGTAAAATTGATTTAAAGTTGAAATAATACAGTTGCACAGCGCCCGCTGTGGTGTAGTAGTTAGCAGTGTGCGCTACCATTTCGCATGGCGTGTATTCAAGCCCGATTCAACCAACGTCAAAAAATTAAAAACAAAAAACGTTTTTTATACCCGAGCGCACTTGTGCACAAGGGTATTATAACTTTGTTCACATAACGGTTGTTTGTAACAGGCAAAACGAATCGAGATAGATATAGACAAATGTATACATAAATGATCAGAATGAAAAGAGAAATCGATTAAGCGGTGACTGTCTCTCCGTCCGTCCGTCCGTCCGTCTGTCCGTCCGTCTGTGCACACGATAACTCGAGTAAAAATTAAGATATCTTAACGAAACTTGGTACGTGTACTTCTTTCGGGTGTATTGAAAATGGGCAAAATCGGACAATAACCACGCCTACCTCCCATATAACGGTAATTTTCATAAATACAAAAACTGCGATATTTTAGTAACTACTGAAGATAATTCACTCAAAATTGATATTTATAATAAATTTTAGACGAAAAATAAGAATATTAACATTTTTTTGAAAATGGGCGTAGCCACGCCCACTTATGGTTACATGTGTATATCTTGGTAACCGCTGCATCAATTTATTCCAAACTTGGCACAGTTGTTGGCCCTGGTACAGCATACCAAATGGCCGAAAACTTTTAAAATCGGACAATAACCACGCCCACATCCCATATAACTGTAATTTCGAGAAATACGAAATCCTCGATAAATCAGTAAATATTAAAGCTAATTTATTCAAAATGATGGTTGCAACAATTCTTTGCCAGGAAATACGTTTATGATAAAATTTTGGAAAATGGGCGTGGCACCGCCCACTTATGATCACAGTATATGTATCTCGCTAACCGTTCTAGCAATTTGTACCAACTCGGTATGGTTATTGTGCTTGCCACATAAAAGTAAACCATTGAAAATTGTTGAAATCGGACTAAAATTACGGCCGCTTTTCATATAACGGTAAATTTCAGAAATGCTTGAAATTTCAATATTTTGAAATTTAAGGACGCTAGTTTACTTAAAATTTATACACGCCGGCTTATCATGTAGCGGTAGCTTTCGGAAAGGTGGAAAACATATATTTAATACTTGCGCCGGGTATTTAATGTTCGGCTCCGCCCGAACTTAGACTTTCTTACTTGTTTCTAATAGCAGTCGCTTCTCGGCAGGCAATGGCAAACCTCCGAATGGATTTCTGTCAGCTTCTCCTAAAAATGCATTCGCCTTTCGGGTCGGCGTAAAACTGTAGGTTCCTCCACTGGACAGTGAATCAAAATCAAACCTTATTAGAAATACTGCGACCACGAGTCTGTAGAATATTACAACAATTTCAAACAAATAGGCGAATGCATAATTTAAATCCATTTTATTGTATAAAAATCAATTTTTGCTCTAAGCAAAACTAATTTTTTTATTACTGTAATGGAAATCATGAATTGCATGATTGCGATTACTTTAATTGTACTCCTAAAAATTTTACGATTACGACTAGGGATGGGTAGTGGGGGGTTGAAATTCGATTTTTTCCGAATTTCGAACATTGCCCAAACATTCGATTATTTGATGCGAAATTTGGTGGTGCAAATTCGATTTAATTCGAATTTGCCAAAAATTGTTTGAAGTGAAACTTCTTAATCGAGTTCGGATATGTTTGCGTTAAATATTTAACACCGTGTCATAAAATCTGTATCGTTCGTTCGATTTTCAAAAAGGAGGTAGGTGTCAAATGAAAGGGCTTGCCCTGTAGATGTGTAATATGGTTTTAGCTTTGTGCAATATGTATGTATGTAAGAAAATCAAAATCAAATTATTTAATAAGTTAAATAAACTACCCCAGTATGGGTATCAATCGAAATTATTTTGAATAAACTTAATTTTTTAATTACATTTAAGAGCGGTTTAGTTAAAGTAGTTAAAGAAGTGTTGTGCTTAAAATACTATGCAACAATTACAATATTTTTAAGGTGCTTGAAGAGAGTGGCCACCTGTTTAAAAAGTTAAACTCAAATTACACTGTAGGACAGACCAAACCAGACCGGACTTTGTTAACATTTTCTGAAAGTATACCCATCCAGTAGTAAAACACTGCGAAAGTTAGCTCGTATGTTTATTTAATGGCCTACTAAAGTTTTCATGTCTCGGCCTTTCAAAAAAATAGTTAAAATAAATGCCTGAGCGACAGTGATAGCAAATTTAGTCAGACACAAGAAAGTTGAAGAGTTGATTTTTTTGGAGATAAATATGAAACTCGATTTTTTCTAGAAAAACTCGATTTTATCCGAATTTTAGCAACACAAAGTTCGATTTCAAAAATTCGCCATTTTGGAGCCAAAATTCGATAAAAATTCGAATATCGAATTTACCCATCCCTAATTACAACTAATCGTAATCCCAATTTTCATGATTACAATTACGGTAACACTGTGGATCAAATTCAGGTTAGCAAAAGTTAGGTCGATTCTGAGAGTGAGGGGTGAAAATAGAAGCTAAATTAGAAGACCCGTATCGCGGCGTTTGTTTATGTTAGTTCGAATTTTTTTTAATCGACCTTCGAACTTTGCAAAATAAATAAATTAACTAAATTAATGATTTGGCCAGTTGCCGTTTAGCAGGCGGCTGTGGATCAACATCACTGCTCTCTCTAATATCTTGGTCATCGTCATCATCATCAGAAAGGTCGATAATTTCGTCCAACAGATATTCTGGAATTTCATCTTTGTCTTCCCCTTCTTCCTCTTTTTCCTCGTCTTCCTCTTCTTCAAAGGTGTTTTTATACCACCAACAAATTTCAGCGAGTATTGCATCTGGAGATTTCTTTCCTCTGTACCTGAAACGAAAATAGTTTTCAATCGTTAACATGTTTAAATTGTGCACTCTGACAAAGATATTAGAAAAATCTAGGAATTCAAAATATGCACACTCTATAGTTACCTTATTTCAAATGGAAGCGCAGTTTGGTGATAACGTTCGCCTTGCTCATCAGATTCAGTTGGCAACTGTTGAGCGAGTTGATCAAGATGCTGAAGCAAGAGATGAATTTTGTACGACATATTAACCCCAATTTCATCGAAAGCTGTCAACATGTCAAAATCTTGACCGACTCATTAGTTTCCGTATTCATTCATCTCTTGCATCAGCATCTTGATCAACTCGCTCAACAGTTGCCAACTGAATCTGATGAGCAAGGCGAACGTTATCACCAAACTGCGCTTCCATTTGAAATAAGGTAACTATAGAGTGTGCATATTTTGAATTCCTAGATTTTTCTAATATCTTTGTCAGAGTGCACAATTTAATCATGTTAACGATCGAAAACTAATTTCGTTTCAGGTACAGAGGAAAGAAATCTCCAGATGCAATACTCGCTGAAATTTGTTGGTGGTATGAAAACACCTTTGAAGAAGAGGAAGACGAGGAAAAAGAGGAAGAAGGGGAAGCTAAAGATGAAATTCCAGAATATCTGTTGGACGAAATTATCGACCTTTCTGACCTTTCTGATGACGATGACCAAGATATTAGGAGAGCAGTGATGTTGATCCACAGCCGCCTGCTAAATAAACGGCAACTGGCCAAATCATTAATTTAATTTTTTTACTTAAAACTTTTCATAACTAACATTTCAAAATTATATTTTTTCCCATATTTTTATAATTTCTTTTTCAATGTTTCTTCAAAACCAATACTGAAAATATTGGTACATAAGAAATGAGAAGTAAATTAATATTAAGCTGGAAAACGCAAGTTTTGTATTATGATTGTTTTCTTTTCAAATGAAATTTATTGAAGAAACTGAGAAGCATATTATAGATCAAACAGAAAGCAAAAAAGACTTAGTTTTGTGGAAAATATGTTCAAAAAGCATGAAAAAAAGTCCAACATTTTGCTTCATAAGCACTACAAAAATTTTCTAAATCAATTTTTTTTTAATTTTAATTGTTGCACACCCAGCCAGCAAGAAAACGTACATTTTACGAACATTATGTTTTACGAGGGATTCTCGTACGCCAAAAAGTTAGAGAAAAGCTCGTAAACGATAAAACAAAAAAATATAATAGAAAGAGGCTTGTAGTAATTTGTCAGCACAAGAAAAAATTTTAATTTTGTTGACAATTTTTCTTCAATCACAGTATTTTATAAGTAAGTAGTTTGTTAAATATTCAGTTTAAGAAAATTATTAAATATGTGATTTATTGGCAGACTGCTGCAAACGCCAAGGACGATCTACCACTTTATTTTATAATTAAACTTCTTGTAAGAGCTACTACATATGTAATTCAAAAATACAAATTAATTTAACGAATTTTGCAATTCTTTCACAGGCTGCGCGGAGCAACACTAAAGGATTTAAACGTTTAATTCCCCTATCTCGTAAGTTTATAGTTATTTATTTTTTTAATTTGCTAGTTTATTAGGTCTTTACAGTTATTGAACTTAATGTTTTATTGATAATATGGCTTCTCAATTAAAAAGGCGTGCGAAATCCGAGCATTATCCGTACTAGCGTCAATAAATGATTCATTAAAAAAAAATTATTACAGATGAGGTAGCAGAACTTTTCTCGTGGAAGGGAACTGGTACCAAAAGCAGCGCTATTGGTTTGGCAACGACTGCGGCAATAGGAAGTACGGATAATAATATTTATTACCACTTTTTACTTAATTAAATTTTCCGATTTCCAATGGAGTTTAATCTTTCACTTTATTTTCTTAGGCGCTTTTCGTCAAAAATTTAACTCCGACGAAGAAGTTTATTTCCATTTCAAAGAAGCACTTCCAATATGCACACGACCGGTAAAAAAAATTGGCAGCCTATCGGCAAAAAAGATAAAAAATAAGTTCAACTACTTTATAATATATATTAAACCCCTCTTATTTAATTGTTAATTTGTTAATAGATAGTTTGTTAATATTTATTTATCTGAAAATATCTTCACATATACAGTGCCGGGAAAAAATATTGGCACAGAGAATTTTTCACCATGAATGCAAAGTTTTTTATTCTGATTTCTTCTCTAATTGTTTTTTATAAAAATATAGTTAGTATGAAGTTCTACTTTCAAATCAGATTTTTTAGAAAAATTCTAAATATGCAGTTTTATAGCCCATTTAATTTTAGTATAATAAAGTGCACTCTTGAATAGCTAGAAAACCTCTTTGTTTTTGGCAATTTTTTATACGCAGTTTCTTCCATACAAAAAAAAATGTCGCACATAATTTGCATGGAAGAAACTGCGTGAAAAAATTGCCAAAAATCAACGCGGTTTTCTGGCAACTTCAAGCTTGCACTATGTTATACTAAAATATAATGGGATATAAAACTGCATACTTAGAATTTTTCTCAAAAATCTGATTTGAAAGTAGGTCTTCATACTAACTATAATTAAAAATAAATAATGTGCGAAAAGAAATTCAAGTAAAAAACTTTGCATATATTGCGAAAAATTCTGTGCCAATACTTTGATCTCGCACTATAAATATTTATTAATTATAATTCCATTCAATAAAAGAACTACAATAATTTGAATTAATTAATTGCCTTTATTTTTAGCATTCAAAACAGTAGATAAAGCAGTGTAAAAAACGCTTTTTTAACGTAAATTAATCGTTTACGAGACTCGTTTACAATTAAAAAACGGACGTAAAAATATTCGCATATGAATGCTTTTTCGATCCGTTTACGACTGTTCGTAGGCGATGCACAATTTAAAGCGAAAAAGTGCTCGAAAAAGAGTCGTAAACGGCTATCATAAACGATTTTTAGTCCGGTTTTTCTTCGAGAAAATATCCAATTACGAGCTTGTTTACGATGATTTTGCTGGCTGGGCAGGTCTCTAGCAATAATTTGGCTTTAACAGATTGAAAAAATATCAATTAGTCGACGAGTTATAGCCAAAAACCATATAAAAAATATGCTGAAAATCGGCATTTGACTGCAAAGTTCGAATCAGAATCGACCTAACTTTTGCTAACCTGAATTTGTTCCACAGTGTAATTGTAGTCTTGAAATGTTAAGGATTACGATTGCTTTAATCGTAATCATAAAAAGTACGATTACGACTACAGTAGTCGTAATCGTCAAATTTTAAGGATAACAAATAAAGTATTCGCAATCAAGCATGTTATAATTACAATTACAGTAATCGTAATGCTGAAAATTTTCGGGATTACAATTACAACAATCGTAATACTAAGTAATCAAAATGTAATCGTAATCGTAAAGTGCCCAGCTCTGGTAAGAATAAGTGGCAAATTTTCCGGAAAACACCCCCAAAAAATGTCTGCGCCATATACATATGTCCATTCTTCTGCGCCATATACCAGCATGGGCATGATGAGTAACTTATAGAGTATGGTTTTCGTACGTCGAGAGTGAACTTTACTCCTGAATTGCCTACTCAGTTCAAGGTAGCACTTGTTGGCAAGAGTGATTCTGCGAGGGATTTCCATGCTGACATTATTATCGGTGTTAATGCTGGTTCCCAAGTAAACGCAATTCTCTACTTTCTCGGAATTATAACTGTCAACAGTGACGTGGGCGACAAGGCGCGAATGTGCTGATTGTTTGTTTGATGACAGGATATACTTCGTCTTGTCCTCGTTTACCACCAGACCCAATCGCTTTGCTTCCTTATCCTCCTTGGAAAAGGCAGAACAGACTTCGCGGTTTTTGATGCCGATGATATCGATGTCATCGGAATAAGCCAGCAATTGCATGCTCTTGTAGTAAATTGTTTCTGAGCGGTTCAATTCTGCAGCTCTTATCAAAATCACATTAAAGAAGTCACATGAAAGAGAATCGCCCTGTCTGAAGCCCCGTTTGATGGCGAACGGCTCGGAGAGGTCTTTCGCAATTCTGANTTTTCCAATTCTGACGGAGCTGGTGGTATTGCTCAACGTCATTTTACACAGCCGTATGAGTTTTGAGGGGATGCCAAATTCAGACATAGCGGCGTATAGGCAACTCCTTTTAGTGCTGTCAAAAGCGGCTTTAAAGTCGACAAATAGGTGGTGAGTGTCGATTCTTTTCTCGCGGGTCTTTTCAAATATTTGGTGTATTGTGAATTCTTGGTCTATGGTGGATTTTCCAAGCCTAAAGTCACACTGATAAGGCCCAATCAGTTCATTGACGGTGGGCTTCAGTCTTTCACACAATACGCTCGATAAGACCTTGTAACCTATGCTTAGAAGGCTGATCCCCCGGTAGTTGGCGCGAATGGCGGGGTCGCCTTGCTTGTGGATTGGGCAGAGCACACTTAAATTCCAGGCGTCGGGCATGCGTTCATCTGACCATATTCTGCATAAGAGTTGATGCATGCACCTTATCAACTCTTCGCCACCGTACTTGAATAGCTCAGCTGACAGGTTGTCAGCTCCAGCAGCTTTGTTTTTTTCAGCCGCGTTATTGCTATTCGTACCTCGTCATGGTCAGGCGGAGGAACATCGACCTCGACATCATCGACTGGGGACTTGGGTTCTTCTTCTCCACAACTTTCCGTGCTGCTACCATTCAATAGCGTGGAAAAGTGTTCCCTCCATAATTTAAGTACGTTCCGAACATCGGTAACTAGGTCGCCATTGTTGTTCTTACAGGAGTACGCCCTGGTCTTGAAACCTTCCGTAAGTTGCCTAACCCTCTAGTAGATTTTTGGGCGTTCTTCCTGTCGGCCAACATTTCAGGCTCTTCGCACTCATGTATTTCGGCCTCCCTCTTTTTATTGNGCCTCTCTCTTCTTGTTGCGGCAAATACGTCTCGCTTCCCTCTTCAGATCCCTATAGCGGTCCCACATAGCGCGCGTTGCGCCCGATCGCAGCGTGGCCCTGTAGGCGGCATCTTTTTTCTCTGCAGCTTCCTGACACTCCTCATCGTACCAGTTGTTCTTTCGGGCTCGCTGAAATCCGACTACTTCTTCGGCGGCGGTACTTAATGAGCGGGAAATGTAGTTCCACTGCTCGCATATGTCGGTTTGTTGAAGAGTTCTCTCTGACAGCAGGTGTGAGAGTCGAGTAGCAAACGCCTTGGCTGTCTGTTGTGATTGCAGCTTTTCGACGTTAAGCTTTATTTTCATATTTAGGCGCACATTTTTTGCTGCGCAGAGGCGGGTGCGTATCTTGGCTGCAACAAGATAGTAGTCCGAGTCGATATTTGCGCCTCGGAGTGTACGTACGTCCAAAACACTAGAAGCATGTCTTCCGTCTATCACAACATGTTCGATTTGGTTTCTCGTTTTTGGATCCGGAGACAGCCACGTAGCTTGATGAATCTTTTTATGCTTAAACCTAGTACTGCATACTACCATGTTTCGGGCCCTGGCGAAATCGTTGTCGGACGTTTTGTCTTGGAGGCTGAATTTTCCGACGGTGGTTCCAAAGATCCCTTCCTTGCCCACCTTGTCATTGAAGCCGCCAAGCACGATTTTGATATCGTGGCGGGGGCAGCGCGCATACGTGCGCTCCAAGCGCTCATAGAAGAGATCCTTGGATTCCTCATCCTTCTCTTCCGTCGGGGCATGGGCGCAGATGAGCGAGATGTTGAAGAATCTCTCTTTAATGCGGATTATGGCTAGATGCTCGTCCGCCGGGGTGAACGACAGTACTCGGCGACGGAGTCTCTCTCACACCACAAGTCCAACACCGAATTTGCGCTCCTTTACATGGCAGCTGTATAATGCGTCGCAAGGCCTCAGGCATTGCCTGCCTTGCCCCGATCAACGCATTTCTTGGATGGTGGTGATGTCAGCTTTTGTTCTTACGAGGACATCAACCTGCCGGGCAGAAGCACCTTCCCAATTAAGGGTCCGGACATTCCAGGAGCATGCCCTCAAATCGTAGTCCTTTAAACATTTGCGGTGGTCGTTACTTTACGATCCTCCAATTACGATCGTGAATTACACCTTTCCCGCAGGCACATTCTTAATTCGATTTGACAGTTCTCTATCATTGTACTTTGCTTTTTTTTCTTCGCTACAAAATTTATACAAAATGTAAGTACATAATTGTTAAAAATTTATAAGTTTCCGTATTAAATTGGTGATGTACACATGTATAAGTTCTGAACACATTGAAAACGACGAGCTACGGCCACAGCTTCCAATTTGTTATCTTCATTATCTAAACGCTTTGTCGATGACGAAATGATTGTTTTGACTGCGGCAGCCTCTTCATGAATTTGTATGAGTTTGACATAAAAGAAGAGGAAGAACCTTATCTGTCGCTGGAAAAATAGAAATAGATCTAACCACAGTGTAGACAGTAACCAAGCTTTTTGGGTTGTTGTTGTAGCTATATTCACCCTTGAAGAAGGCACCGGGTTGTGTGCTGCTATTTAATGGCCTTCCTCAGACTTTTTGTTAGATATCAGGGTTGTGTGCTGCATTATTATTAGATAAATAATTTTAAGCAATTGGCAAATAGTGATTTTATTAGAAGAAAATTATAAATTTTGTTTTTGTTATTTTTATGGCCTTATAACAATTATATTCAACAATTTTTATGAGCTTGAGGCCGTTTTTAGTGAAAACTTATTGTGAAAAAGCAACAATAATTTGAAAAATGGTAGAAGTGATAGCTATTTCGGAAATCACCACATTTCCTCATCAGACTTCTTTCAGTAGGAT